ATTTGCCTCGTTTTGCTTTTGATTTCTCTGGATTCCAGAGAAAGTGCATATTTTGATTTCTATCATAAAGCCTCTTCACACCAAGAATGATAACTAAACCTATATTAGTGTCCACACTAACACAAGATAAAATTCTGTTTATTACAAGCGCACACTGCAGGGTGGATTCTGAATGACTGTCAACGTTTTTATGGTTCATCGCTCTGAAAGTGATTCTGAGGATATCGTTTGTGGTGTGGACTCTGCTGTTCTCATCAAATTAAAACTATTATTAAAACTTTATAGTTATATATAGTTATCATCCTTGGTGTGAACAGGACTTTACATTATATGTGTATTTTGGACTTTAAATGTGCTGCGACCTTTACTGAAGTTGCATCTATTCATTGTTGTTTCTATTGCAACATGAATATCAAATGAGCAATTACACTGACAGTCCTTCTGAGAATCCTGCCGTCTCTCAGGGTTAAGTGTGTTTGTCTGAAGTCAACAATCAAAGGATTAGTTCACTTTTTAAATGAAAATTAGCCCATGATTTACTCACCCTCAAACCATCCTAAATAGCCTGGGAAAACCCAGACAACTTCCGGCAAATTTAGATTTGCTCTGAAAGTTAGTCTGGCAAAGAGCTCATTCAAGCTCATTTCCAATCCGCCGAAATCACGGCACCAATCAGAAACGTTGGGGCGGGCTTTACATGATGACGACAGCGCTGGGATTTTGAAGCAGATTTTGTAGCCTACGTTACAAAGATGGATGCCGCCGTCGAACATCACTCGTTCGAATCAGCTATCGCGTCTACTCTGTTTTAAGCGATTTGAACGTTTCCTTTTAGTTAAAAACTGAGCAAAGAACAACACTCGGAGATGTTTCTCCGCCGCTCTGCATACGTCATCTCCTTCATCGCTCTGATTGGTTTTAGGTCTATCCGCGACGTCCGTTGGTGACGCCCCTCTGGAAATGATTTGTCTATGACGCTTTGCCTGACCATAACTCAGTTACAAATGAGAATGGTCTGGTTTTAACCAGGCTACATTCTAAGTGTATATGACTTTCTTCTTTCAGACGAATACAATCGGAGTTATATTAAAAAATATCCTGGCTCTTCCCAGTTTTATAATGGCAGTGGATTGCAACCAACAGATTGAAGCTCAAAAATGTGCATCCATCCATCGTAAACGAACTCCAAACAGCTCCTGTGGGTTGCAGTCCACTGCCATTATAAAGCTTGGAAGAGCCAGGATATTTTTTAATATAACTCCGATTGTATTCGTCTGAAAGGAGAAAGTCATATACACCTAGGATGGCTTGAGGGTGAGTAAATCATGGGCTAATTTTCATTTGAAAGTGAACTACTCCTTTAATTTACCATGCTCGGTTTGTGCACACCTCTAAACTGAATTTCATTTGAGCATGTCAAGTTTCCTCTTTTTTTTTACTTAGTTTGGACAAAATGTGGATGGAAATGGCTAAAGAGAATGAGACCACATCCCTCACATGACAGAAAATGAATTAATTTGGGCTGGACCAGACCTCCTCACCTCCCACTGGGCTCGACAGCTTGTGACCACTGAGCCTAACAGTCAAACAGTAGTGGCCTTTTACAGTTTTGATCCATTTTAATTGCCAAGACCTTAGCTTTTTCAGTTAGTATTTGATACCAGTCCACCAAAATCTCCTAGGAGTACAAATGGTAAACCCTCAAGAACTGGGGGAGTGTGCCCAGTTAATTAATTTCAGTGTTTCATTAAAATCCTTGAAATTAATCTTACCCTGGTGGAGCAAAGTCTTTTCGCACTCAGCATGCACAAAACACCCCATAAAGCTTGCGAGACAATATTTTTCCTCCGATTTTTGCCCGTTCAATCTGGAGTGATACTGCAAAACTAAATTTGAACCCAGGTTCCATTGCTGAACAAACATCTTACCACTAGACGATGACACATTTTGCACTTATATGAAGAACTACAAAGTAAAATCACATTTCAACAAATAAAGAACCATGTGACTCAGGACTTGTTACTTCCTTAAAAAAACAAAAAAAAAAAACATTAGGTGTTGAAATTCTGGTCCATACTGAGAGCCATTAATTATTTTGTCAGATAGTACACAACATTAAAATATTATACTGTTTTATGTATTAAAAAAGTTCAAAGAAATCTAAAAATATAAATACTTTTAAGAGTGAATTAAAGAGTCAATATAATGTTAGTGAAAGCATGAAAGACTTTCACATATTTAATAACACATAACAGTGTTATTAAATAATTTGTGATATTAAACATCAACTTTATTAACAGACTAACAACTCTAAATCATGTAAAATGTAAAGATATTTAAAAAGCACCCGATTAAATACTGGCCGTTATTTACACAATATTGATGTCAGTAATATCAGCCGGTATATTGTGCATCATTACTCATGTTTATACTTACCGGTACATTTGACTTTGTTGCAAGTCTCTGAAGATGAAATAAACAGCTTGTTCTGCCATTGAACAAGCAACACACTCATTTAGTCTATATAAGAGGTAATATTAGTAGTAAATCATAGTAGCAGTTATAAGTCATCTGAATAGTGTCTAAAGGTCGAGTTTCAGTTAATGCCAAGAGGAAGTGACTTTTGTTGTGGTTGTACAGATGTATAAGATGTTATATACATATATTGCAAGATAAGATGAGGTAATAAGAACATACCCTTTTCTGAGAAGTACATGCGTGTTCTCTGTGCCGTTATTAGTAGAACTGTTTGTTTTATGGACAAATAATACCTCATCTTGCAGATTACTGAGAAATTTACCACTACATGACCTTACTTCACATCTTTTCAGTTAGAATGGTTACGGTTATGCTAGTTGGGTAACTTCCACTCAGTCTTAGTAAAAGGGAAGTGTAATTTGTTAATCTGCTCAGAGAACATTTGCACTTCTCTTTACAAGTGTTCAGTGGACTTGAGACCAGAATGGACCCTCTTCCCAATACCTACAGTATAATGTGAAATGAGAGTGCCATTGCTCAATGCAACTGGTTGATTGGTTCAGACCATGATTTTCTGCACAGCAGGGAAATGGAAAAAAGGGGGATCGAGGAGGAGGACATCTGAATCACCGTCCAGAAAAACATTTGCTTTTCTATTCTCCAAAGGATGTGGGTTTTATTCGGCATTTCTACATTCCCCGTTCTCTCCATCCCAGAAACTGTAGAGCGGTTAATCACCAGAGACCAATCCTTTAATATTCAATACTCTCTGACAGATAATAGATTCAGTTTTTAAGGTCAAGTTGTGATTTGCAAAAGCTATATTTCTGAATTTGCCTCATAGGCTGGCCTTTTTTTGGGAGGGTTGTTTTAAGAATGATTTTGGTGGCTTTGATAGTTGAATAGATGTTTTTTATATGAAAATGGCAATTGGTATAGCAAACAAAAAGGTCTGTGATCAACTGTCTCCTGGTGCAATATCAAAGCCATATTGCATGTAACAATGCACACAAGGGCTGCCAAACTAGATGTGGTGTAATGTTGTTTGATAGATAATCCTAGTGAATTTTTTTTAGACTTGTTAGACTCGCATTGCATTCAGTTTATACATGCCATTGATGGACTAATGTAATGATATATATTTACCACAGTACATTTTCAATACAACCATCAATCGCATCAAAAAACTGAGCATTATGCAAGTATAACAAATATAATTTTAAATTATATATATAAAGTTTTTTTATTTTTATTAATCTTTAAGTTGTCTTTCAAATATTTTATAAACATACTTTCTGCATTATTTTATCCACTCTGCTGTCTAGTTATCGGCATTGTCCATTGAAAAACCTTCAACAATTTATGTGATCAGTTGAAACAAAATGCTTTAAGACAAATGGAATACAGCAAACAAATATAACCACATTTATTTCTGAAAGTATAAAATATTACACTATAAAGGCCACTTTGCAAGGGTAAATTAACAACTTTTCCAAATATGTACACAGTTAATACCTTTCCCTCTTAGATATTGTCCAGCTCTGTGGCAAACCGTAATGTCATTTTTCTCACATGACCACAGGAAGTAGTTGGCAAGAGTTTTAAATAATTTACTTGATAGCAGAAAATGGATGGCAGGAGTTTTGAAGGTTCCTGATTTTCTTTTTGTACATCCTTCAGAGGCGTCGGGTATTCTGGATGGTTCACGCTCTCCCTTCAAAACCAGTGAAGAGGCACAGTTTGACATCGAATTGACAGGCACTATATGCCCTTGAACTGGGAGGCTTTAAAAAAAAAAAAAAACGAAAATTTGCAGTTCACATTCTTTACAATGGCACCAGTCAAGCCTCCGGAGCTTTCTCTTGGTAAGTGTTAGTTCGGCGTGACAGGCAAGTTTCGCTTGCTGTATTTATGCGCTTCATGAAGTTTCCTCGCTCTGAGTCTACTTGCGTGTACGTACGTTCTTACTGTATCCATACACTACCGGAGATGCGGTGTCAGAATGAGGTAGAACCGTTGTACCAAAAACATAGCTAGAACTTTAAACCTATGAAGTAACAGTCACATCAAATCAACTCTATAGAGTGGATTTAAAAAGCAAACTAAAGCAATAAATTCACATTCAACCACACCTACAATAGAGATCACTAACAGGCTGGAATATCTGAAGTGTTCCCAGAATAAATTCCTCCCTCTTTTCCCTTCCCTTTCTGTAAAAAAGGCTGCTTTGTTTTGTCTAGAGATTCACTTTTTCACAGATACCAATATGCTGCCTCATCGGATGTTGTCGCCACAGGAGAATTTTCCTCTTTCTTTGTTTCAAGAGGAAACCAACTCAAAAGGTAAAGTATGAAGTTGAGTCAAGATCACAAAACCTTACTACCCCCCTCCCTCCCTCCCCCCCCCCCCACTCCCCACCCCCACACACACTGCTACAACGCAATCTGCAGTCCAACAGAAAGGGAATAGACGCAGACGTACACGCACAGACACGCACAAAATCACACTCCGTCACTTTTCAGTTTGTAACTGAAAGCGTCACTGTTTTGCTGGGCTACGCTGAACTCCCTCTGCTGCATTCTGTGCCTCTTCCCAAGGCTAGAATGGAGGCAGGGATTGTGCTGGAGTCGGGTGACTCCAGACCAGCTGGGGGCAGTCATGCTCAAGCTAGGCTCTGATCTCCCAGAGCCCTTTCACAGGACTAGGACCATCCACCAGCTGCCATGCCACCCAAGCCGACTGGGCCTTTCTGGGAGATGATACTCTCTGTGGATTTAAGAAGTCTTTCAAGGCATGGCGCGTTAATCTTGGCCGGAGGCGGTCGACTGTGAGCAGACTCTGTCTTACATAGACGGTCCGTGCTGGAGGACACAGAGTTGTCCTGCGTCGCGTCACTGTCCCTGTGAGCTGTTAGAACGTTCCGAACCGTCCCCTGAGCTTGTTCAGCCGTCGGGGAGCAGATGGGTGATGTGTGGAGCCATTTTAGGTTGGTTGCAGAGTAGGGCCCTGGGGGTGTGAGGTCGCTGACTCTCATTGCCTTGTTACCCATTGAAAGGGCACTTGTGGTGGCAGGGTTTGCAATGCCAGTGAGCAGGGGAGATGTAGCTGGAGACAACTGTAAAAAATTGAAAGAGGGAGAATTACTTAAGATTTCAATGCTAACAGAGACAAACCTTTCCTGGGGATCTCTCTGCAATTGGTTTGCTATGATTTAAGAAAATACTTTTAAATTACAAAATTTAATAAAACTAGTTTTAAATCTTGTGAAAAATCAAATGCAAAGATATGCTCTAAAAATGCGTGTTTCATATGGTTTTAAAAAGCTTAAATCCCAAGTTTACATTTAAAAATATCATGTGGTGTAACCATCAAGAACTAATGATACATTTCGTTATAAACTAAATTAATGTAACCTCACCGTATACATCTTAAATATTTTTTTTAAAGTTGAAATATACTTTAAGGTGAAATTATTATTATTATTTTATTTTTAAATAACCATTCATAAATATCATGGTTTTCTGGGTGTCGCACCACATGACATTTTACAATTATTCATGAAAGAATATTTAAGGAACATATTTACAAATCATTGTTTGTATTAACTGCATTTTTCACATGTATTTTTGCATTAACCGATCCAGGAGAAAAACAAAAACACCATCAGGTCATTAACCCAGAAACTATTACCATACAATAATAACTTGTGTAGGGGTATAAAATCAGCATGAGAATATCCTTTTACATTGCTGACTTCTATCTGTCCTCTGAAAGCTTTCCAAAATTACCTTTTCTTTTCCGTCTTTGTTCTTAGTGAACATGAGATGTGCATTTTATACCTCTGTACTGTAAAAATAGATTTTAATCCCTTCTTGTCTGTCCTGTTCCTCTCTGTCCCAGTGATTACAGTATAATAGGCATTTCAGTCTCTCCTTTTCAATCAGCCTGGTGTCTTAACTTACACATGTTCATGACAGCTCTCCAAAAGTCTTACCTTGGTTTTCTTAGATGGGGTCGTCTCCTCCATCAGCGCCGCAGTATTGGCTTGGTCGCTTCGTTGAGGTTTTATGTGAGGGAACCAGTTCTTCAACATTTCCTCCATTTTCAGAATGATGTTAACATATCTCTCTCTGCATGGCACAGGAAGGACAATATTTGAGTCTGGTAACCCACAGAAGCACTAAAAAACAGTTTGAGACTTAATGTGACTGACGTGACTAAAAATGAAAGTCTACTGTTCTGTAACCTTGTTTGGTGTTAGGCGAGTTGAAAGAACACTTAACCGCAAGTACACTGCATCATGCGTACATGTACACACAGACACGATCTGTTCTCATTTTGAGAAACACGTTTCTGTTAATTCACATGTTTGTACACTTCCCTTGCCCCTAAATATAGACTTAAGCCTGCAGCGGGGCACTGACGTCCACGTCACAGGGAAAAGAAATAGTAGCGCTAAGGAGCAGTGATGCAGACACACGCACATGGTGCCCATTGACTCGCACCAGTCCCCGACAGATGGTTAATGGGGATTAGTGCAAGTCACATGACAAAGTATCTGCTATGCCCCCATTCTCAGCATTTCAAATTTAAATGGCTACTGTCGTTAAACTTACTTTAATATTCCCTATTCTGATGCACCTTTGCGTTGGGGGACTTGCCAGCTGGCATGACGGAATGGGTGAATGATAGCAGGGGTCAGGTGGTGGGGACGCAGCCACGCCCCCACTTGTGTCAGCTTGGTTATGGCTTGGCTCAGTGCCTCGTTCAGATGGCCTGAATTAGTACCCCACCCAAAACCCCATCATCTATGTTTTTAGTGGCTGAATACCCACTTCAGGCGTATTTTTTGCCAGGTGTGTTTTCATGCCGCACAGTTTGCAACACTGCTGGACGTGGCCCAAAGTACACCACCGATCTAGATGTTCTAGACTCTACTCTCACACGTGAATATTGGACTTTGTGAAGCAGCACAATGCAATACAATGAGAGCAGATCTGGGCTGCGTGCCAGGTGCTGTTAAGAGGAAAAGTAAATGACGCACCTAAGCCCAGCCTGACCCATTATGAGGTCATTCAATGCAACAGAAGCACTGACTCCCCCCCCCCCCCCAAAGACGACATCACAGACTTTACACCGTCTAGCCAGAGGAGGGCTAATCAATCGGATGACAGGCTATTCCCTCAAGGAGCTGGGACATTTTTAACGACCCATGTTTGAGTTCTATTCTTGTCCAGCCATTTTTAGGTTTGTGGTGGCAGGTCTGCACAGGCTCCCCCCTCCCTCCCTTCCTGCTGCTCTGGACCAAGCATCATGCTGCGAAGCCATGTGTTTTCACATCTCCTTGTCTCGTTCATTTATACCCTCAGAGCAAAGACATTCACAAGACTTCCAAACAGAGCAGAGGGCGTAGAAGTCATTCGCAAATGACATGGGACAATTTAATCTTGACTTGACTGCTTATGTGCGTTAACAAACAAACACACTGAAACAACATTGCAAGTAGTGGATTGAGGTAGATTAAGTAAATGGACACAACATCTCTCAGATCGATCTGCGAAGGAGTGTTGTGCAGACTTAAAGCCCTCCCACCCTCAATCGGCCCATGAGTGAAGTAAAAGAAACAGTAGGGAACTCACCCCATGCAGGGATTCTGCAGGACCCCCATTATCCTCTGGATGCGGTCCATGGCCACACTCTCTTGGAAACTGCTGAGGCCTGTGAAAGGAGAAGATACAGTTTAAACCTTTTCTTTTATGAGCAGTGCCAGCTTATTGTCTCTGACAGGCTGTGATACGTCTGCGAGGCAGATGGGTTCTTGTGAAACACGTGGGACGACAGACTTGCTGTCTCTGTGGCCAGGAAGTCCAGTGTCACCCAGAGCCCTTGCATTGACAGCAGTCCCAGACTCATGAGCAGGTCCGCCTGGTGCGCAACCTGTTTTATAGTATATGTGGGGCTCTAGCCAATAAAACTTTTAAGTACCCAGTCACGCTAATACCATCTGTTGGTGTTTTACAGTAAGGTCAAGCTTGAGCAAGTTTTCTGTGTTCCAACCAGCCGTGACGCAACATGATTCCAGTAACAAGTCATTTTCCTGTCCGCACAGAAAGTGAAAATGCTTTGCGATGTAACAGTCAACCAGAATATTGTGTGGGCGGTTCTATGTTTGCATGCGTAAACCGAAGAACAGAAATGCCACACTTTTCCATTTAGCATCAATTTCACGGTTTTACATTCTATGACTTGAAGGTACCTTGAGATGTTGCGTACCTTCCACAGCTAGTATATCCTTTTCCGATCTTTAATATACACGAGGAATGTGATTTTAATCCAGAGTGAGCGGGACTACATAAATGAGAACCAAGTGACCCAAGCAGCTTTTAAATCACGGTTTGGCGCCTTGTTAGGACACAGTGTGACGGTGCAGATTTTACTGTCATTACTTGTATCAAAAGTTACAATAGCCACATTAAAAAACTGAGTCAAATGATTACAAAATTTCATCCCACTACGCAAGGACACAAAAGAAACAGCTAACCCAAACCCTTGAGCTTATCTCTATAGTGTCTTCGGAATTTCATTCGAGGTCCTGGGGTATTTTTGGAGCCGTGCGGTTTGCACTGCTTTAGACATGCGTCTTTCAACCATACACGTTTTATTATGACTAAGCAAGGCAGCAAGCGCCACTAGGAAATTACTGTGGTTGATTTGGGTGCCTCATTTTGTGTAGTTTCATGACACATCTCTGTCCCAAATCTCATGGTTCGAGAAGCGTGTCATCACCTGCTGCCTCTAGTTTGGCAGTACTCCTTGTATACTGATTTTTTAAGGCAAGTTCTTGGATCAAGGCTGATGCTTTAGACTATAAGACAAAGAATGAATAAAGCATTACTCACGTTCTCTGTATCTGCCTGAGCGGAGGCCATTAAGGATTGAGGACAGTGGGTGAATGTAACACTGCAGCTCCAAGCACTGCAAAACAAAGAGCATCATTCAGTATTTCATTCATTTGTCTGATATTATTTATTGTTTAGCATTTCTCTAATAATTTCTAGAGTTTTGCTGTTTTCATTTCAGGGTATTGACAGTACACTTTTGCCAATTACCATAAACAAACAACATCAAGTTAGGATATTCCTTTGTACAGCTCATAATTTCCTAACAACAATGACACTGATGCAAAAAGTGACTCATCTACTCTCACACATTTATGCAAATGTAATGGAACGAGTTATCACTGCATTTATACAAGGTAGAGGAAAACACTGCGTTTTTTCATTCAGTGGCCTCGTGTGACTCATTCACTTTTCACCCAGATAGAACACATGGAGGAGGGGTCTTCCTGGAAGTGGTTTTGCTTCGAGTATTTTTTTTTTTTTATTCTGCTCGGGTGGATAGATCATGTAGGAGATAAGGGTGCCTTTCAGAACACCATGTCTCTTCCCTGGCATGCCGGCAAGTCAAAAAAGTGGTACGTCTCACCTTGCATGCGAACAGCCTGTCTTTCTCCATTTGTTCAGGCGTGAGCTGCCTCTCCCTTTGCTCTGGCACCATGGAGCTCCGTGTTCTCTTCAGCGCCTGCCTCTTTTTGCCTATAGGGCTCTCCGGGCACCGGCTGCAATTGGTCCGATCCCCTTGTCCCAGGAGAGAATGACTGCCATCCTCGCTGTAGTCAGAGCTATTGCAGTTAGAAGGAGAACTTCCCCGAGAACTCATGTTCTCTTTGTCCATTACCTCCCCTTTATCTCCATTCCTCTTTGAGAGCGACTGGCAAGTTTGGACCCCCTGGACGACCCCCGAGGTGGGGGATTTTGGCAAGGTGGTTTGTCCCTGCACTTTGGTACAGTCTGATTCTAACTCGCTATCGTTGTCCTCATCGTCACTGGCCAGCCAGTCAATGGAATAGTCCGAATCTGAAGCTGACATCTTAGGAAGCAGGGTCTAACCAGCATGAACCATCACTGACCTGCAGGGGAAACAGGGAGTACTTTAATCTCCAATTTTTAATACACAACGTTAATAATGAACATTATTACACAATACAACAGGAGTTGGCATTAAATTGTGTAATAGAAAAGGAATGTTTTCTCTTTCATTGTATTGCTTTGACAGCAACATAAAAGCAAAAATTCCAGCTATATTTGCATGATTAATAGTCTAGCAGATAACAGTGGTCCAAAATGAGAGTTTAAGCATGGATCTTCAATAAAATCCTGTGGGATAATGAATTCATGCCAGCTCAGACCAGCGTGTTTTCCACACACACTACCTGAGTCTCACACACAGGCTAAAGAAACAGCGGCCATAAAAAAAACAAAATAAAAAAAAACACTTACTGCCGTTTCACGAACAGTGCTGAGAACTAATGACACTGACGTGTATGGTTAATTCTTATGTTTTCAATGACAACACTGATTCTTCTGTACATGAACAGTACCAAAACAAACCCTAAAAGATTAATATACTATTACACATTTTTGTAAAAAAAAAAACTAAATTAGCCTTATTCATGCATAATATTGTAGCAACAGGAGGAGACGGTCTTTATTCAAATTTAAGATGTTTGAAATAAGATTTTATGCTGGTCTTTTTAGAACAATTGTGTGCCCTGTAAGGCACATGCATTTGTTTGTTCTGATTGCACCTAATTGAAAAACGAATGGCCGCACTGTCCTTTGTTTCGGCGGTATATCCAAAGACAACTGGAGCGCCAGATCGAGCCTCTGTTGAGAAGCGTACGTGGGTTCAGTGATGTAGACCTGCAGTTGTGTGGCCCCGTGTTACTTCTCCCAAGGCAACGTGTCTGAGAGGGCGGGCACTAAAACGCCGAGTGTTCCGATTTGTGCTTCCAGACCCGAATCTGACAAATAGAGATTGCGTTGGAAGCCAACTCCGGCTGATAGGGGAGACGAGCTTACATATTAAAATAATATGCAAATTAACTAAACACGTGGACACGCGGATCGGTTTCATTCCAACAGGCGGACAGAATGTCAACTGCTAGCGTTTTTTTTTTTTTTTTTTGGTTGTTGCTCACAGATACTAACTTTTTTTTATACCCAATTAGCTCGGATGCGATGACGCCAGATATGCACCTCCCTCTCATATGTTTGGGTTGAGTTGCTTTTAAAGTCACCATGAAATCAAATTGGACAATTCTTTTTAATGAATATTGCAGAATATATGATTTATGTAGGCAACGTCATTATTTATGTAATTAATTAAAACAAAATAAAAAAAAACACTTACTGCCGTTTCACGAACAGTGCTGAGAACTAATGACACTGACGTGTATGGTTAATTCTTATGTTTTCAATGACAACACTGATTCTTCTGTACATGAACAGTACCAAAACAAACCCTAAAAGATTAATATACTATTACACATTTTTGTAAAAAAAAAAACTAAATTAGCCTTATTCATGCATAATATTGTAGCAACAGGAGGAGACGGTCTTTATTCAAATTTAAGATGTTTGAAATAAGATTTTATGCTGGTCTTTTTAGAACAATTGTGTGCCCTGTAAGGCACATGCATTTGTTTGTTCTGATTGCACCTAATTGAAAAACACTTGAAAATGAAGCAATACAGAACTAACAGTCTGTGTTGAAGCAGGTGATACAACAACCGCACATATTTAAAGCCCTGTTCGTTTATTCAATGAGACCAGAATGCCGCAGCCATGGTGACCAGCAATTGACAGAACAAAGGCCCTAGAAATAAACCGTTCTTTCTGCAGAATTTCATTAATAAATTGCTCAAAATCATACATTACTTGCACGTTCGATTTAGGCGCAAGCTGGTAGTGTATGCTGCTTACATTTATAAGTTAATTAGTTTGTGGGCATGCTTTTAAAAGAGGGTGATTTGAAAATAGTCTAGGAACACACAGCTGGGACCAGATCTGCGGCCTTGAGCACTACCAGTAATTTTTCTGCTTGTATTATCAATTCCATCACTCCTTGGTACTTCATAATAGACATGCCTTAAGGAATACACATAAAAGGAGTGTTGACAACGTTGATTAATGAGCCAAGCCATGAATATTTGTTAAAAGCATATGTTCAACAGAAGCTACTGCCGACCGACCACTCATCTTTTTATAGACGAGCCAAGGGCTTCTTATGAATTAACAGGACATGTATGAGTATGATGCAAAAATATGTTATGCGTAAATTAATAAAAACCCCAGAAAACTGCACACACACTGCATTACACCGTCCTTAATTAATACCAAAAATAGTTGTTGTTTTTAATACAAAAACAGAATCATTGTGGTTACATTAGTTTGAACAAATAAAGTCATTTTATGGGATGTTTACAGTATAACATTCACTTTCGGTTATTACAAAAGTATCGTTTTTTCCCCAAAAATCATATTTTAAAATGCACTCTAAATGTAACTTTTACATAAATGAAAATACCTTATTATACAATAAAAGTACTTAAATTTTATCAAGCAAGTTATCGTAGCCATTGTCCACGCACGAGGATTTTCAGATTGCCTAAGCACATTCACATCTCTTGGGCATTTAATCCTTCCATCAGCTGGTCGGTATCATTGCAAACAAATGGACTGCTGAGCCAGAGTTCTGCCCTGCCAATAAAGCCACATTATGTAATAGCTCTACCTCAAGCACGCGACTAATTGGCTTTATAACATTTACAAAGCTCAGCCTTCCAAATGGATGTAACTGCTGACCAGCTTTTTCCTGTCAGTACTGGTTTCACCAAAAGTTGAATCAAACAAAACGCCGCGTTTAGCACGACTGCCGTTAGCGAACAAACTCCTCTTTCAAATCGAAAAACTGCCTACATCGGATACTTTACAAGTTTTGTCGACAGCTGCGGACGGGGATGAAAAGGCCCTTTATTAGTTTGTGGTAACAGATAATTTGTCAAAACAAAGACAATCATTGAAAGGTTTACTTGCAGTGTTTACGTTTGGTTACCAGTGTAAAGACAAAGCGGGCACGTGACAATTATTTAATAGCGGTATTTAGCGCAACGGCAAATGTAGGAAGTCATGTAACCGAGACGTATTTCTTATAGCTACGCCTGCACGTAATATCGGTTGCTATGGGCAACACGTATATTAATATTAAAAGGACTATGAAATAAAACAAAACCCGTACAGAATTAATGTACCTGTCTGATATCTGAGGGTGGGGCCCTGGTGATGACTAACACCTTAATAGACCCTTCCAAGACAAGACCACCGCAATTTTTGGCCTTTTCAAACATATTACAAAATGTTAAATATATAACGTTACTGCTAACTTATATGCCTATAGGTTTAGCTAACTTGTATATTAAAACGAATACTCTCGCAAAAAAACGGATATAAACAAAGCCACGAACTATTACAAAAGACACGATAAGCTACATTTAATATATCAGTATTTAAATATATTAAGAACGCATGTGTATCATTTAATAGGCGGATGCCTCTGTTCACGCAGCGGCATCTTCTAACATCTCTTGCATACATATACATAAAGCCCTATACCTCACTGTTATTCCTATATGTGCCATTTTTACCCCACAAAAAATATTATCGGAAGCAATCGCTGTTATTTAAAACGCGAATCCTACCTCAAGCCGGATGGGACGAATGGCCGCACTGTCCTTTGTTTCGGCGGTATATCCAAAGACAACTGGAGCGCCAGATCGAGCCTCTGTTGAGAAGCGTACGTGGGTTCAGTGATGTAGACCTGCAGTTGTGTGGCCCCGTGTTACTTCTCCCAAGGCAACGTGTCTGAGAGGGCGGGCACTAAAACGCCGAGTGTTCCGATTTGTGCTTCCAGACCCGAATCTGACAAATAGAGATTGCGTTGGAAGCCAACTCCGGCTGATAGGGGAGACGAGCTTACATATTAAAATAATATGCAAATTAACTAAACACGTGGACACGCGGATCGGTTTCATTCCAACAGGCGGACAGAATGTCAACTGCTAGCGTTTTTTTTTTTTTTAGGTTGTTGCTCACAGATACTAACTTTTTTTTATACCTAATTAGCTCGGATGCGATGACGCCAGATATGCACCTCCCTCTCATATGTTTGGGTTGAGTTGCTTTTAAAGTCACCATGAAATCAAATTGGACAATTCTTTTTAATGAATATTGCAGAATATATGATTTATGTAGGCAACGTCATTATTTCTGTAATTATGTGCCCCCCCCCCCCCCCCCTAAACTTCAATCAAAATAACTTCCTCTCCGTCTTGCAGTGACAGTACATATTTTTCACGTTTAATTGTTGCAACAGGGGTGACCATTTTTCACCTGTCTACAAATAGATATCTATATGCTAGGCTATATGCTATAGCATATGCTATCATAAATCATGTTCACAAGATTGGATAACCACAACAACAGTATGTTGCATCTGTTTCAAGAGGTATGTATCATGATGTCATTATGTATCACTTTATTGTGTATATGTGTGTGTGCGCGCATGTGTTTGTAGATGTTACTTATTTTGTTTATAATTCATTTAAATTTCAAAAATGGGAATTACAAAAAAATCAAGTAATATATCATGACATATAACATGAATGAGTATTTGGGGATATAGGTGAACAATAACTTTCACAAAAAAACATATTGGTCCTTAAATAGGCTCCTTTTTAAAGACATTGATACATTTACTAATTTGATTTTTCTGGGGGTTTTTTCATGATATTGACCTATGGACTAGGCATTTACAACTTCTAGTACACTTTTAGGTCTATTGATCATTTAGCAACTGTAAACAAACCAATGTGGAAACATTTGCATGCAGCACGAGCCAGCGTCACATGTGTCTAAGAAGCGATTCAATGTGCGCATTGCTACTGTTGCTCTCTGTTTCACTGGATGCAGGAGCCCCGTAGCGGCGCTTATCCTTACCTGCCCCCGACTGACTGCAATGTGCACAGCTGCTCGTATGTGAACCAAGTGGAATGAATGAATGAGGCTGAACGTGATAGGCCACGTTCTGTTTCGTGTCGGGTTGCACACATGCTGCCTTTACGCTCGCACTGTTTTTACACAGCAGCCTGTGGAGTTTCCATGGTGAGGGGGAAAAACATTCCAAAGCAGTTCACTTCTCTAGAAGCCTCACAGCAGGTGAAGTTGTGTAGATATATTCCGTCATACGTTATTCAGCGCACTTTTTCAAAAAGCCCAAACGGGAGGAAAAGGGCATGCCAGGTGGTCTGTGTCCACTGGTATGTTCACGCTCATGCTGTGGTGGTTGTTCAAGTTGGTGGCTGTGACGGTGAGAGAGCAAATGAGGACTCGCAGTCTCTCTCTGGGGGGTGGGATCTCTGGTTGGAGTCCAGACAAAGATTCAACGGCTGGTGCCAATGAGTCATAGTCCTCCTCCCCGGAAAACGTGAGCACATGTGAGAGAAAAAACCCACCCATCTTCTGTCTCTCCTTTCGGCTTCGCGCAATTGAAAGTCATAATTGATGTGAACTGAATGTCTCTTCCAAATCTCTCCCTCTCAGTTCCTGTCGGTATTTGACAACCAGGAGAACATTAACAAAACATTATGGGTTCTGAACTTAGCCAAATACGCCACCCAGATGGATTAATGACACAAACCGGTCTGGTTTTAAATGCAGACTTTCTTCTGGCAACAGGTCCTATTGAGGCCAGTAATAGCATGTTCGGGCCAATTTATAAGGCCCTGCTGTGACTGTTTCTCGATATAAAGGCCAGTTAACAACAGGGACTATAATTATAGCAATAACTATAACTGTAAAGTTCTAATAATTGTTCTAATTCTATGTTCTCGATTCTCGATATGAGAATCGAGAAGTCCACACCACAACTATAACGATAATGGCACAGAAGAAGGATATGGTTGGAATCACTTGTAGTCCGTAACTTTTGGCGCTCTAGTGGTTAATAAACAGAACTGCATGTGTCTTGCGGAAGAACATTGTAGCCGGAGCTACTTTCTGTTTATGTCTATGACGAGTCACGCAGGAACCGGGCTACTCCGCAGCGGTACGACCCGTACCAGTCTAAAATAGTCCAAATATAAACACTTATTATAGGTGTACTGTAGTGATTCAGGATAAGACAAAAACACGGTTTAAAAAATGGATTCATGATGTACCCGCCTATTATATAATTTTTGTAAATTTTGAAGAAAAAAAAGTTACGGACTGCAGCTTTAAGGTCACATTTAACGTTGCTCGGCGAAAGTTTGCAGATGAAATTCAGTCACTTCAATAGTAATCTGTGTGCTCTGGAGTTTTGCGTGTGCAATGCCCAAAAAGTTTAAAATTTGCAGAAAGTTGCTTGGTTTAAAAGTGTGAGCTGTGCTTCATTATAGATAATGGACCTTTTTTTGCCCGCTAAATATCAGTTATGTGACGGTAGAAAGATTCTTTATAAGGTCATAGGTGTGGCTCAGCTGTGTTGATTCTATTTGAGATTACAACGAGAGGCAAGGAATGATAACTATATTTCTCAACATCATCTCTTTTAGATGCAAAGAAGGTGTGTTGCAAACACTAGACGTGCTGCTAAAAACAGCCGCGGTGACCCTCCCTTTTAGGCGGGAGTCAGCAAATATGCTATTGGCCGACAATCTTTACTCTCTTGTTCTTCCTTTTGTTGGGACACAGTGCAGTCGCACTCGAACATTACGGTGTCCAAAACACCCCGCAAAACAATCACTTGAAAGGATGGAAAGTCAACAACTGGAAGCTATTTGCAAATGGGGTTTTCTCAGAGTGCTCAGCTTGGCCACTTTACATTGTGCAATAAGATGAGAACATCCTAGAGAGAATAGTCCTACGCTCAACCTAATCATCACAGGCTAAGCAAATGACACAGCAGTTAATGTGCAACTTGTGGGAATAAAAGTCCAAAAAAGGAATACATGAAACACAAGCTATGATTCCTATTATATCAGTCATTTCCCCAATTAGGCAATCAGCGATGATGTTTCTCTGAAATATTTATTGAAGACATGTTCTAGTTCTATTACATAGAAAGAAAGAAACTTGTGTATACGAGATTACAGTGTAAGTCATAGCTGTCAACATTGAACATTGAATATAAGGGAGATTTACGGAATCCATCCCCAAAATAAGGGAATTTTTTTACACGATTCTTACCCACCACTAACTTTAAAAATAAAGCACTAATCATTAAAAGTCTAAAGAGTTTATAACTACAAATGAGTGAGAGAGAAAGAGACAGTGTGTGTGTGTATTAGAGAAAGTGTGTCATTTTTAAAAAAAAATGTATCAGAGAATGTTTAAATACTAATATCAGCTTACGAGGGAAACGGTACGTGGTGCTTCGGGGGCTGCTGGAGATGATTAGGGAGAGGTCTGTGCTCCTTTACCGATCAAAGCGCGCGCTGACACGGAGTATAATTGTTTATACTTGACGCGTCCGCACGAGCGCGGCAAAGATTACGCGTTGGGTGCGCAAGACCGGCAAGACCCCATTTCGCTTGGCTGTGTGCACAGCTTTTTTTGTAACAGCGCGCGCGGCGCCGCATCCGAGGATGAACGACTTCAAGCCGAATCTGCCCGAGCATGTACGTCTCACACAATCAGAGCGTAAAAATACGGGATATTTTACGGGAAAATAATAAAACGGGAAGACAGCGGGAAAAGAGCTAAAATACGTGAGAAACCCGGAAAAAACGGGAGGGTTGACAGCTATGGTGTAAGTGGGAGATAATTATTGGTTTATTGCATTTAATCATAGACCATGACGATTTACAGTCACCTCAAGATAATGAAAGCTTCAGAAACATATTACAGATGTTACATATTGAAGTAATTACAGAAAAATGTATCACACGAAACTTGTGAAGAACATGTCCGATACTTAAATCAATCATCAGAATTAAAGAAATAGGCCTAAATAAGAAATCATATTGTGCTTAAAGACAATTAAGCATTTTTATTATTAAAAGTCCCATTATCATTACTTTTTTCATTACTTTAATGTGAGAAAGAAACAGTAATATAGGCTATCCAGATTTATTTTGGCTCATTTTAATACATAAAAAGTATTGCATTAAAGTAATAAAAAATATGGTGAGAAAAAGTTGTGGTAATGAGAGAAAATGTGCTTAATCATAATGAAAATAATATGAATGATCCTAAAAATAGTCTTCAGTTTCTTTATGAAGAATGTATTATTATTTCTTATTTTATTTCCTATTTCATATATTTATTTTATTTAATGAAATAAAACCTTTTATGTTTTATGCAATTCACTAGTATACTTCTCACATTCCATATTCGTAATCGTGAACAGCTACATCCTTGACTTCCTGAATCGTAATCATTTCAAAATGCTGTTATAGAGTGACTTTCACACTCGGCAATTACAAGGTTCATTGAACACTTGAGCATGTTCTAGCGCTTTTGTAAAGGTCTCTCTGCCACACATATTCATACAAGGCATTGATGCTCAGCCCATCGTCCGTGTGGCTGGCCTTGATGAGTCACAGGTGAAATTTGGCTTGGTGATTTAGAAGCACTGTCTGACGGACCTTGATGATTCACTAGGATGGAGGATTGCGGGGGGATGCTGGATTTCTCACTGACTTTCTTTATCTCATTCATAAAAAAAAGAGAGAAAATCAGCCTTCGTCCTGAATTTCACCTCCACAGGTGGCTAAATGAATCTCTGCTCTCAATCTGGAGAAAAGTGTGACGGTGGATGAATGAATCTCACATCAAAAACAGTTCTAGGTTACATTTAGAAGAAGAAAAAAATCACAAAAACATATTCACTATATTTAGCAATGTGGTTTTGTAGAAGCATTGCACATCGGCCATGGTTGGTGACCTCTCACTTCATTTGCTTCAGGGAGGTTGGAAAATAGCGCCTA